GGGACCTGAGCAAGGCCTGCGCAGCAGGGGGGTGGAGAAGGAGCTAAACCAGCGGCCGGCGAGCGTGCCCTGGGATGTGAGAAAGAGGAAGCACAAGTTTTGGGGGGCCAGCCACGGAGAGCCTTGGTGGCCCCGTGGAAAGGCCCAGGGCACCTCCGAGGACACACAGTCACTGCAGCTGATGCAGAGCGAAGGCCTCTGCCCAGGGGAGGGGGGAGTGGCGCCGGAGGCAGAGGGACTGGCGCCTGAGGAATACAGTCGGGGGGCGCATGCCGGGCACACTGACTAGTGCAGCTGGTGCTGTGAACCTCTAGCCTGGGTGTGATACGGACCGAAGGCTCCTCTCTTCCAGCAGCGGCCTCCACACCTGCTCTGCTCAGGTATTTCTGCCCCTTCCCGGGTGATAGGACCCCGGGCGAGCTCAGAGCATCCCAGTCAAAAACTCCCATCAAATCCAAACTTCCTCCTCACTCAGCTTCAAAGCCTCCCCTGTGGGGCCTGCACTGGAGGGACAGCGAGGGACGGAGGGAGGGACGGAGGGAGGGACAGGCGATGCTCTGTTCCTCCTGCTCCTCCCTCCCCTCCCGCCCCCAGGGAAGAAGGGGGAGCTCCAGCCATGCCTCTCAGGTGGCGAGTGCCCACCAGATGGCTCTCATTAGGGGCACAGGTGAGCTAGTCCTTCAGGAGGCCCCGGGAACGTCACACGGGAATCGGGTGTGGGCACCGCGTGCCCTCCCTGACCTCGCGCTTCACGCGGCAGCAACCTCCCTTTGACCCTTGGTCACAGTCCACAATAGTTCTGCCCACAGCCCTTACTGCTGGGGCATCCCCTTGAGCTCGGTACCTTCAGATGGCCTTCTAGGGCGTTCACTCGGCCCACAGGAAATGCCACATCCTGGCCACTCACTGGGGCCTCTCTCCCTGCCCCTCTCTCACCCTCAAGATGGCTCCAGTCTGCGGAGACTCCTGGTCAATAGGGGCATCGGTCTCTGTGTTCGAAGGCATCCCTCACGCCCATCGGCAGCTGTTTCTGCCCCTGGGAGCCCTCCCCTCCCTGCAGGAACCCACGTCCAGCCTGGTGAGGGTTCCGTTGTGGCTCCTCCATTGGCTTGGGGGTGGGGCTCCCTCCCCCCTCCTGAGTCCCTGGGAGGGGAAGGGGGTAAAGCCACAGCTCTGCTCCCCAGTCGCCCTGTTCTCCGCAACTCTCTCCTTAAACCTCAATCTCCTGGGAATGCAGACTCAAGGAGAATGTAAGGGGACAGTCCGGGGATCCGCTCATAACATCAGCCAGGCCTGTGTGACGCGCCTGGCAGTTCTGTCTAGAATATGAGGGAACCTCCTGGTCTCCCCTCGGGGCTTTAGCCAGAATCCTCAAACACGAGGAAATCCCACTTCNCCTCGGGGCTTTAGCCAGAATCCTCAAACACAAGGAAATCCCACTTCCCTTTCAGTGCCGTTAGGGGTGCTGTAGAGCAGCTTCCTCAGTCTTAGTGCTGCTGACATTGGGGACATTTGTGGGGACTGTCCCCGGCATGGTGGCGTTTAACAGCATCCATCACCTCTGCCCTGTGCATCCACCCCCTCAGGGTGTGACATCTTCGGTCATTGTTAAAAGGGTGGAAGGTGAGGACAGAGCAAAACTGCCCCCTGGTGAGAAGAGTAGACAAAAGGGAGCCATTGAAAGTTCTTGAGCAAGGGAGTAACCTAAAATTTCACCCAATATCGTGTGGTTGGTTTCACTGAATGGTATGAGCTGAAGTGGTCAAGGCCAAGAAATGTTCACAGTGCAAGGGGCATGTTTTGACACCCCCTGGTGTGCAAAGTGCTGCCGTCACCTCATCTCAGCTTCCACACCAGCCGTGGAGCAGGCAGGGCCCCCCTCCACTGAGGAGCTGTGACCGTGAAGCACAGGCTTGTGCACTTGCTAAGCCCCGTTTCTGCAAGCGGCAGAAAGGTGACTTGGAAAAGCTGGGCTGGACAGGCCGCGGGGCCGTCCGGCAGACACAGCCCCTCCCCCCGGGGCTCACTGTCCAGCAGCAGTGGCTCCCAGGGCGAGAAGCCACGGTTCCCTCTCTCTCCCCTTTAGGCACAGTGGCGGGTTAGGGAGCCACCGGGAGTGAAGCTGGTAGACGCTGGTCATCTGCTCTTGCTGCTGGGGGTTGACAGGAACCCCAGGCTTCTCTTTTTCCTTCAAAGGGTGACACGTATCCCCAATAGGCAAGGCACATACGGGTCTGCGACATAGCGTGTGATCAGCACACGAGGGGTTTTGCCGAGGAACCCCATTCTTTAGTTACTGTGTCTCACCAACTCCCAGCACCCAAGGGTCTTCCCCATCAGGAGACCCTCTTTCCTCGGCCTTATGCTCAGAGCCTCCAGGACCAGGCTCCTTCGGCTCATTATTCTCAGGAGGGAAAACAAAACACAGAGCCAGCTGACTCTGAACAGTCTCCTCCGGTGTCTCCAGGGGCTGCCCTAAGCCCCCCCCGCCCCCGCCAGCACTGCCCAGAGCAGATCCTTCTGCTCTCATTCACCCACTTGCTTTCCGTGGCAAGTGAAAAAATACTGTAAGCCAGTAATGTGTAGAGAGGCTGCGTGAGTTTTCCCAAGAATGTCTAGAAAGATCCCCGGCCCTTAGATAGCAAAGAAGGGTGTCCTCTGACATCAAAACTCCGCCCAAAGTCTCGTGTGTAGAAAGGTTTCTTTATTAGAAGCATCACATTCCGGGAACAGGAGGGGTGGGTGGGAAGTGGAGGGACCTGGCGGGGCGGGGTCCACACACGCCTGCCCTGAGCTCCCCCGGGGAGGCTGCGCCTGGCGAGGCTCAGGTGACCTGCAGCGGGGTCTCCAGCATCTCCATGAGGAAGGTGTCAATGGGCGTGTCCCCGATGAGCTTGAAGAAGAACAGGTGCTCCAGGCACTTCAAGCCGATGGAGCGCAGGGCGGGCAGGCGCAGCAGCAGCTTGGCGAACCTGCGAGGAGGCGGGGGGTTGGGGCCCGAGCACGGCTGCTGGGCAGGGGCAGTGCGGCCGGTCCTCTGCACCATCTGTGATGGAAGAGGGAGCCTGGAGGGGCCCGGGGGGTCAGAGAACCTCACCCTGGGGGCATCAGACACGGGCTGGAGGACCAGTCATCTTCTTAAAGGCGGCAGTCGGACCCCATGACCTCTCGGGACATTTTCAATGAGAAGAGTTGAAATGGGAGCTCTGACACTCCCTGAAAACATGTATGTTTCCATATTCAGGCTTCAAGGAAAGATCACGACATAAGAGAAACAGAACGGCACCAGCTAGAGCGTAGCAGTTGCTTCTCCGCACGGAGAAACGGAGGGTTACACCAAGGCCCGCGCAACCCTCCAAACCCAGTCACGGCCCGGGGTGCGGCGGCCAGAGTCTGGCCCACGGGCAGTGAGACGTGGGGGACGCGGGGCCGGACGGACGGGGCTCCACCACCAGGGGGTTTCAGGGATTTCAGGAAAGGAAGCGGCTTCCTCGAGAGGGTGCAGCGTTAGACTAACTCCGGAAATACTTTTTACTCTAAAAATGCCAGCTTTGCAGTTTGCAAGGTGCCGAGCACACTGTGCTGTGGCTCCCTTGGCTGCCTGTCCCGGGCGGGGGAGCTGAGGTTGGGACTCGATTAAACGCTCCGTTCACAGCCGGCCGGGACCGCCGCTGCCCTGGGCACCCTCGAGCCTGGCCCTGTGGCGTGTGTTCTGGAAAGTGTCCGCCGGGTGGCAGCACTCTACCACGGAGAGCCGGGGCGCGCCCCACCTGCCAGGTCTCTGCAAACCAGAGGTGACCTCAGCAGTTACCTGCCTGGCTTTACCCGGGGACATCCCCGATGGAGCTTCGCAGCCTCAGGGTGGTCACCCTGCGTGTCCACCCCCAAGGGGCACGCAAGGGGCCCAGCCTCTACGTGCCCTCACCCTGAAGCCCCAGGCTCTGCCCTAGTCCAGACAGTAGGTGTGGCACCTCCCCCAGTGCCCGGAGGCAGCCCAGCCCCCCCCAGCCCCTTCTAGGGAAAATGGGCAGGTTCCAAAGTTTTCAACCGAAATGCCAGCCCCAGGGCAGTGACTAAATACATCGGGACACATCCACCCTGTGAAATTCTACAAAGTCATTGAAACGATAATGCTGCCTCTGCCGGTGTCTGGTAAAATGCCTGGCAGGGCTCTGGGCGCACTCGTGCGGCTTCAGAGCTGTAAATACCCATTTCCATGTCTACACAAGGAGACCGAAAACAAGTATACTCAGAAAATTTACAACCAATTCTTATTACCTGCTTTATATTTTAAAAATATTTTCCTTATTTCCTACCAAGGCAGCTCTGCTTTTATAACAAGGAAAGGAGAGGTTTGGTCTGAGGGGGGTTGTCTGTGTCGTGTGGATTTTTGTTTATTTGTTTAGTTGGTTGGTTGGTTTTAAGATAAACAGCATGGCCTAGAGTCAGTTTCTGGAAGAGGTTGAAGATGAGCTTAGGTTGCCACAGAGCTGGGAGACTCGGCAGAAATCACCCTACACAGGGCGAGTTCGCGCCCCTGGGTGGAGGCTGAGCTGACGCCGGCAGCCGGGCCCACCTGTTGGCGGGCCCTTCAGTCTCACCCGCTGCAGGTGAGTGGAGAAGAGGCTGCCAGGTGTCCACCAAAACCCTCCTGCCCTCCTCCCGTGCCAGACAGCTGACCCGCACTACGGGCTCCTTGCTGGTCATGTGACAACCTTAGCGAAGGGAAGCGAGTGAGGGGGGGAACCTTTCCCAGTGGAGGTGTTGCCCACAGAGCCTCACCTCTGTGCCCTCCACCTTTGCCCTCCATCCTCTGAACACAAAACACGGTGTGGCTCTGGGGCGTGATGGAGTCAAGAAGGAAGAAGCCTGGGCCCCTGAGTGACGCTCGGGAGTCACCTCTTCTAGTTCATTGCCCAGCAGGACTGACCCGTGAGGAGGAAGCGAGCTTCTGCTGTGCCCGCTGCTGAAGTCTGGGAGGCCTGGGGTCCCGGCTCCCTCGCCCCCACGGCTGAAGCCCACCCGCTCACGCTGGCTCACAGCCTCCCATGAAAAATGGCCCAGCCTCTCGGGGCCAATGGATAGGAACTGGCTTATGACCCAAGAAAAATAGCTCAGCGGAAATCACCCTTCACGGAGGAATCAAAGTCATTAGTGAGAACTGGGAGCCTAGAAAGTTAGTGCTAAAAGCAAAACTAATAGTCTTCAAGGCAGTTTTTTCAAGTTTTGTCTTCAGTTTCCTGTGAGATTTGAGGATTGTAGACTCTCGAAGGAAACTTACATTTAGCTGTGCTTTGGGGGAATATTTGAGAAAAGCACCTTTTAAAGACCTAGGAAGACCTGTACCAGGAGATGGCCTACTAGTTGGAGAGCTCCTGGTCAAAGCCTTTCTTTCTGACGAGGAGCCCAGACCCAGACCAGCACCTTGCCAGAGGTCACAGGGATGGCAGCCCGGGGCCAAGGTCACCTCTGCTGGCTACCAAAGCCCTCTCCAGCATGGGGCTCCAGGGGCAATATGGTCACCCTGGCAATCCCAGCCCTTTGAAATCAGAGACCTGGGCTCCTGTCCAGGCCCCACCTCGAACCAGCTCCGTGACCTTGAACAAGCTCCTGACCTTTTCTGAGCTCTGTGCCTGGTCAGAATCAGAGATATTGAGACCCACACTCCTTCGTTTGCTTGCTCATTCCTGCAGCGCTTAAAGACGCACCCTCTTTGGCAGGCACAGTGTTAGGCTCTGACCGTGGTAAGCGGCAAACGAGAGGGAAGACCTCCACTCACGGAGCCAATGTTCCAGTGGCTTTCAGCTTGTCATGGAGACGAGGTCCTATCTGGGAGCCATCTTCACAGTGCCCACTGCCCACCGCCCCCCATCAGTGGTGGCGAGGCCGGCTGCGCCCATCACTGCTGTGCCCCAGGGCCTCACCTGCCTGGCTGGTCCGGGTACTTCTGCTTGGTGTAGGCCTCGAGGGTGGCGTAGACCTTCTCACGCAGGCTCTCCACCTCCGAGGGGTTGGATAGGCCCTTGGCATCTGGAAAAGGTGCGTGACTTAGCCCCGGTGACACCTTCCACAGAGGCCCACGCCAGCCGGACCCACGCTGAACGGGGAGCAGCTGTGAAACGCTGCTGTCCCCTGTGTGCATTCGACCCCAAACCTGCAGGATAACGGTTCCCACTGCTGACTCCCAGGAGGACAGTTTTATCCAGGCCATTCCAGTCCCTTCACGCTGTGCCTACTATGTGCTAAGCATGGACTGAGTGAAGAGATGCGTACACAGCCAGGCAGAGCGTGTCCTGCATCAGTGAACTGAGTGCCGATTCAGGAGATGACACAGGTGCGTCACCTAGCACGTGGTTCCAGCACCCGTCTCCCCACCACAGCCCATCGGGGAAGCTGTTCCCCTCCCCTTGACCTGCTCTCTTCACGGGCCTGCAGGACGCCCCTCACTGGTCCCCTCCCCACCTCCCTCAGGGCCCCTTCTCAGGTCCTGTCTGAATGTCCCTTTCCCCGCCTCCAGGGCTTAGCCCAGCCCTGCACCCTCTTCTCCGCCCACCTTCCCCTGCTCCCAGATGAGCTCACACCTGGTGCCCAGCCTCACACGCAGGTGTCGGCTGCCAGAACTGCAAGACAGACCTCTCTGGTCCTGCTCCCCTGAACCCCAGACTCACAGAGCCATTGCCCCTGGGAAGCAGTTCTCGGAGCCCACCCTCCAGCTCAGACTGCAGTGTCCAAACCAAAGTCCTCACTCCTACCACCCGCCCTCAAGACCCCATCTCCATAAACAAAAACTCCATTTCCCCAATTGTTCAGGGAAACAAAACAAGAAACCCGGGAACTATATTTAACGCCTCTCGTTTCACGTCGGTGAATCTACATCTAATCCATCTTCCATCGGCAATTCCCACTGGCTTTACTGAAAACTCCCTGTGGAATCTGACCACTCTGACCACCCCCTCACTACCATCCGAGATCAATCCCATCTCTCATCTTCCCACCTGCCCCCAAGCACCCACGCCCCACGCCCACAGGACTTCCCGAGACGGCGCTGGGAGCGGAGGCCATGAGGAGCTGGCCTTCTGCCCTCCCCAAGGACAGTTTCCTGGCCCTGTGTCCCCTGTCTCGGCTGAGCTGGGGACCAGGAGTGTTGGCGCTCTGGCCGCATGCAGGAGGCTGAGGACCAGGCTGTCAACCTGGGTTAAACAGGACGATGGCCCGCAGGCATCCCAGCTCCGACTTGTCCATCTGCATGTCTTTCATCTTGGAGACCAGCTCAGTCAGGACTCTGTTCGTGGGAGACAGAGACAGGCGATGAGAAGATCGGGCGCAGGCCAAGGGCCGATGGCATGAGCGTGACTGACCTTTACTCTACGCACCCCGTTTCCAGATGATGGGCTGGGTACGCGGGGCTTGGGGAGGAGCCAGGCGCAGCCCCTGATCTCAAGGGGTCACGTTTAATTGGAGAAACAGACATGGAAGCAATGCGCAGCGGCAACGCAAAGGCAGTAACGCCATGAGCAAAGTCCAAGCAAACAC